AAGTAGGTGCTTTAGACCACTGAGCCATCTCACCAGCCCCCGAGCTCTGTCTTATAGGGAAAATTACAACTTTTATAAATACCTTTGGAAATATTTTATCAAAAAATACAGTTTAGATATTAAAAAACCTTAATCACATTTTTATTATTAAACTAACATTAAGTATTACAGTTATTAAAAAACAGAACCATTGATTTGATTTTTTTTCCCCTCTACTTAGTGCTGAACTACTTCCTTTCCTCCTTCCTTCCTTTCTTCCTTCCTTCCTTCCTTCCTTCCTTCCTTCCTTCCTTCCTTCCAGTACTGGAGATTCTACCCAGGACCTTTGCATTAAACTATAACCCCGGCCCTTCTTTTGAGACAGGGTTTTTAATTTTGAGATAGGGCCTTGGTATGTTGCCCAGGCTGGCCTTGAACTGGCAATAATTTTCCCTGTGCCCTTCCAAGAAGTTGGGGTTATAGGTGTGGACCACTGCACCCAGCACGGTGATTGTTCTATGCAGAGTCCACATTCATCTTAGGAAAACCTGCAGTTAAGAGTAACCAGAATGACCCATAATCTCACCAATCAGCAATAATCACTTGTCTACTTTTGCTATACATACATTTATATAAGTACAGTTTTAATACAAAATGGAGGGGAGAGAAAAAGAACAGTGGTAGAACAGTTAAGTAACAGGCACAAGATCTTTAGTTTGATCCCCAGCACCACACACACACAAAATGCCATATATATACCATTGTGTAACACTTTCTAGCACTATATATTGGACATTTTTCTATTTCAATCACAGATCTGCATAATTTTAAATGGTATTTGGCTATATGGATGTGTAAATTTATGGGAGCCAATCACTTGCCAGATGCTTTTGCCTTTTTAAAACGTATTATCATAAGCTCAGGTTCTGGTGGGCACAAGCACTTCTGCTTTACACTACTGTGAAAATGTGCCTCTACCTCTTGTCCTGCTAGGTTTTCTGGTTGTTTTTCCAATTCCTTAGTTCACTGATAACTCCTCTAACCTCTGTATCCTCAAGGCTGGCAGGTAATCTGAGCAGACTCTTAGAAGCAGATTGATGAGGGCCAGTGAGATAGTTCAGTGGACTAAGCACATGCTTAAGACAAGCCCAGGGACCGGGATTCAATCCCTGGTACCACATGCCATGCTGGCCCTGTTCCTGGGCATGCCTAGCTGGGCACCGAGTAATCCCAGAACTGGGGAGGCTGCAAACAGGAGGATCACTATGAGTCCAAACTGTGTGGTGAGACCCTCTACCAGATTTTTTAAAAAGCAGATTAATAGAGGGAGGACAGGAAAGGGATGCTTTGGAGCCACCCGTAGTATCCTACCTACCCCACGAATGTGGGGCATGGCTTCAAAAAGACCTAGACCTTTGTTTTCTGCCAGTGTGGCAGCAGTAGCCTCCCAGGAACACATTTGATTTGCTTTATAAATCAACCTGATTATTTTGCTAAAGCTATTAGTTTATATTCCTTAAATCCTTTAATTATGTCCTGTGCTAGCAGTTTTGATTAAGTCATTAAGAAAAGCAAGTAGTTCTCACCCACCATAGTTCTAGCCTCATTCTTAGTGATGTGGGGGTGGGGATTGGTTTGGTGCTGGGGACCAGAGCCTTGCACGTGCTAAGTACGTGCTCCATCACTAAGCCACGTTCCCTCTAAGTGGTTAAATTAAAATACCTTGTTCTCAAGAACTGTGGTCTATTTAGAGTAAGGCATGGGTCTAAGTAGTCCTGTCAGTGAAATTAAAATTCAATAGATGGAGAAATCATCAAAGACTTCACAAATACTTGGGTGTTGTGGGACACAAACTGTACCCTTCATTTAGGTCAAGGGGTGTGCGTGGGAGGACACGTGCCACACCTGACTGCAGTTGCTGTTTTAGTAGCACTGCATTTGTCACAGGAAACTGGATGCCAGGGGAGTGGGTAGAAGGCTCCAAAGGAAGCTGGGTTCCCTGTATGAATCGTTACATCCTCAGCCCCTCTTGTTTATTTACTTCTTTTTGGTACTGGGGATTGAATCCAAAATCTTTCATTGAGCTACATTCCCAGCTCTTTATTTATTTATTTTTTTTCCAGCTCTTTATTTTTTAAGACAGAGTCTCAGGGCTGGGAAGATAGCTCAGCAGAATAAGGGCTTGCCTGGCAAGTGCAAGAACCTGAGTTTAATCCCTGGTTCTCCCCCCAAAAAAAAGTCTCACTAATTTTGCTAAGGTGCCCAGGCCAGGCTTGAATCTGTGATCTTGCCCCAGCCTCCCAGAGTTCTGGTGGCCTACACCACCACACCCGGCTCATTTTGAGATAAGGTCTTGCAATGTTTCCCAGACTGGCCTCAGACTTGCGAGCCTCCTGCCTCAGCCTCAGTAGTTTGAATCACAGACTTCTACCACCACATTCAGCTCAGGCCTCTGCCTTATGCTGGGGCTGTTGTGAGTGCTTGTGGCTTGCCAGGCAACGTGTGGGCCTACGTGAAGCTTTGACCTAACCACCCAGCCATCTCAGCCTTCATCTTTCCCAGGCTCTTCATGGCTGTCATCCTGCACCCCTTCTAAATTGTTGCTAAAACTCAAAATGTGTAATTTTCAGGAAAGCAGTATCCATTTTTCTAGCCTTGAATAGACCACGTGAAAAACTTAATCCCCCCTGCCTCATTT